CTTAAAATTGCAAAAACCTTTTATCTAGAAATTTTATTACAAAATATATATATATATTTAGATAGCTTTTGATGTATCCAATTTTAAGTCTTTTAAAATGTTTTTTTTATTACCGTATTTGCGCGTGATAACGCGCAGATGTGCGTTATTACGCGCAAATACGGTAACCACATTTACATATAATAGTATATAGTCAGTTTGAGTCTAATAGAATGTATAAATAGAGTTATTCTTTGTAAATAGAGGGTTCTTCTTTTGCTCAATTGGAATAGAGTAATAGGAATTGGGATTCTTTGTGTATCGGGTACACTTTTTGGGAAGATACTTACTTGTATCGGTTACATATTTTGTACTTTTATTGTCTTGTGCATAGTAATAAATAGCTGATTTCATATTTTTAATGCTTGCGACCAGAGTTAAATTGGCAGTGCAATAGTAAAGTCTCTCCCTTGTCGTAACACAGGTGTTCCAGGATTTATGAAAACAGTTGTAAAGCTTACAGATACAATAATCGAGAATGCAAAAGATAGGTATTTGATAAAAAATACTTTGCCATATGTGATCTTGAAACACAAACAAATCTTATAATCAAACATGTTAAAGTTGACTCAAATCTACCGGCATTCATTAGGTGCCAACAAGTTTCCGAAATTGGATAGTATTCCTTCCATGCTTATGAGCGTTCGAGAAACATCTATTACTCATAAATACAATTTCGAAAATACATGCAACACGATCATTAAAAATGTATTTTTTTTTTAAAAAAAAAAAGTTGCTTTGTGTTAGTAGTTGTCATCTTAGTGTTACGAATTCTACCAAAAATACGTACGTACGTAATTTACAGAATTCCACCGATTATGGATTGTAACGATTTCAATTGTATACAAATAAATCTTTATTGAAAATGATTTTAGATGAGTTGGCTGTTTTGTTCCATATTAAGTGATTGAGATTTCGTGATTTCATGCACCGTACGTACGTACGTACGTAGGCACATTTACTGTACATATACAGTACCGATCAAAAAGAATTATCAAGAGCCAAGTTCTTACAACGAAAATTAATACGAATAATGAATTACTATCGCTTTTATTTCTATTATTTAGTGATAATAATTGTCAGTAATTCAATTTCAGTTTTTTGTCAAAAACAGGAGCAAAGAGCATATCGTGAATTAATAACTGAACCAGTCAAATTCACATATAACTCTGATCGAGTTATTATTGACCATTCAGTGTTACCAGTTGTAAAAGATGAATTGTCAATTACACTAAAAATGAAGGTTTTAAGCCACAGTTATGATTATAAAACAGTTTTTTCT